AAAACATGAATTTTGGAGAGCTTATTTATTTCGATTCGTATTTGTAACAACTTACTCGAAAATTGGAGAAAATATAACAACGTAAGCAGACAAACAATAACGGATGAATTTAACAATATATATATATATATATATATATATATATATATATATATATATATATATATGCTGGATTTTTCCGTTTTTTCGACGTATGAGGGTCAAGCAGCTGAGTTTCTAGGAAACGACAGCCAGACACCTGCACATATGATTTGATTAAAGTAGTGAAGGCTTTGTGCAGAAGCGACGACTTTTTTGAAGGACTGAATACAGAGATATGGTTGCCACAAGGTCCCCAAATTCAGAGTTGTCCTTCACCTAGACTGGTTCCCATCCAAGGCTATAGAACCCAGTCTTCCCTTCTATTTACCCATAGATGGAGGAAGAAGAAGAGGATTCATACCTTTTCCAAGGGTATTAGCACGTAAGTGAATGTAATGGATTCGACTGAATTCGAACTCGGGTCTCCGATTCTTCATTACTCCACCGTGCCTCTTATACGCACACACACACACACAATACATATATATATATATATATATATATATATATATATATATATATATATATATATATATATATATATATATATATATATATATAAGGCAGGATGTGTGTGTGTGTAACGAATGCACGGTCGCAATTTTCGACGGATTTGCACCAAAATTTACATGCACATGCTCCAAGTTAGTGGGAAGGCCACGACCGACTTTGCATTTCCCAACTCCCATCGATAGTGGAAATAATCGATTTTTTCATGCTTCTACGGCAGTTTTCATGTAGTTTGCGGCCATTTTCTACTGTGAGAGCCTATAGCTGGCTGCCACGAATAGGCAGAAAGATTTTATTGGCCAGTGTGAGAGCCAACAGCTGACTGACACGAATGTTAACTAGCATGCTAGCATGCAAAAAAAATCGATAGCTGCATTCGTCATAAGTGAAAAAAATTTAAATCTGCATTGCACTTTACTCTAATTGGCTCATTCGCTTGCTTAAACTCAACGTTGATTCTGATTCTGTAGAACTGGGTTGGGTGTGAAAAATTATTTTTTTCCTTTTTCATTCGGTTTTTCCAGTTACGAGTCCTTTTTTTAAAGCTGATCGTTTTGTGTTCATTTTGTTTAGTTCTTTTTTCGTAACAGATTTAATGTTTAGTATAGAGCTTAGAAAAAATTCGCAGTTTGAGATAGGCAAGAAGTAAGGCATGTAGCAACATCAGCACGGCAAAGGGAACTTCTTTAAAGGCAAGGAAGGGCAAAAATATTTTAAGTCAAGTTATAGCGATTGCTGTATGAGTCGTACGATTTTTGAATCAAGCACGGGCAACGCTGGGCCATGCTGCTAGTATATATATTTCCATATTTAAATCTGCCTGGAATGTTGCATGTCTTATCACCCAGCGTACTGATAGTTTAAGAAACTTTTACCTTGAATGCCAACAATTTGTGCTGCAGTAATCAAGGCTAAAGAAGGATATTTTGACGAGAGCAAAATTTAATCATAAAATACTTTTATTCTTTTTGTAATAACAAAATTTCTAATGAGAAATCACATCTCATTTATTTAACTATGTATAATAATTTTCTCTTATTTAAAGTACAAAATAATTTATTTTCGGGCCAGCTTAAAAAAATACCAGAAGAAAAATAATCCACAAACTATTGAACTGTAGTATATATATAAAGAAAGAGAGATTAGGCGCGAAGATTGTGTTCAGACATAAAATATAATATCGTCACTTAGTGTTGACCTCTATGCTCGTTCTTATATATACATTTTGGTTTTGCTTGTAGGTCGACATATCCTGCGCTCATTAAATATAGATTTTATAAAACTTGGTGAGATATATGTGTTTGCCGTGTCTTTCTCGATGACAAAATATTAATCAGAACTCCCTTTAAGTATTTGATACGTAATGAATTTTGAATGAAGTATTGCTTCTTAACCTTCGGAAAAGAGGTAAAACTTTGTTTTCTAAATTTCCATAAAAATCATTTTAATCGCCAATTACTTACTATGGTCTGAAGAAGTACAGTCATAGTATTGAAACATGAAAGCATTTGTGTAGCGATTTCAACATGTTTTTATTATAATCTTTTATGGTAAAAATATATATATATATATATATATATATGTATATATATATATATATGTGTGTGTGTGTGTGTGTGTGTGACAGGATAGGATAGGTAATTCCAAGATTTATATCCAGCTGAGTCTGTTGACGTCACTACTTGTTACTGTCGCGTCAGTTGTCGCTGGCAATGCGACAATTTAGGAATTGGGTCGTCATCGGAACATGTTAAGCATGACTTGAAATCGACTCAGTGTCATCAGGACTGTCAATTGTTTCCCCGCCGGGCCGTCGAAGGCCAATGATTTGCGATGTCGGCGGGAGTCCGGATGATAGAAGTCACTGCCCAGCTTCGTCTCCTCGATCGACTCAGGATCTACGGGTAAGTTGACTCCGTAAATGCTGACATTTTGCAGGAGAAAGATTTAATCTTTGTTTATTAACAATTTTATCTCTGCATTTGTTGTTCAGAATGTTTTTGTTTTGTTTTTTGTTTTTTTTTTTTCCAATGGGGGTATCGACGATTTTAGGAAAATGAACTTATTCAGCGAGTAGCAAAGATCTCATTATATGCAAAACCAGTGTTCCTCAAAACCTTTTTGGGCAACGGCACACCAAGAAGCAAATGAAAATATCACTGCACACTTAGCAATATTTTTAAAGGGTATATTAAATTTAATGAAAGAGAAACAGATTAAAAAAAAATTGAATTTAAATTTTGAAGAACAAATTTGGCTGGAAAGCACAAGAACTGCGAGAAAAGAAAATGTTAGCGTAGAAGTTACGGCGACAATATATATATATATATATATATATATATATATATATATATATATATATATTAGGTTGGTGCAAAAATAATGACGTAATAATGTCGTTTTTGACGTTAAAAATACGTCAAAAACGATATTATTACGTCATTATTTTTGCACCAACCTAATATATATATA